ACATGGCAACGAGAAAAACACGAATAAATTAAAATTCTCGTTCCCATGTCCCCACCAATCACGTAGCTCCATTTTCTGCCTTTAAAAGCACACATAACCCACAATTCCTCTATTCGTTCCGACGAAGGGCTAACGCTCGAAACGTCAGCTTTTATAACTGCAACGGTTGCCAATTTACCATTTCAACTGTGTTGATATATTCAAACTATAACTTACATTGAGTACGCAACTGTATTCTAAAATGGGTGCTGTTTCCCTTTTTCATTAGCAAGGTTAACGCTTTTTCCTCTCAGTCTCTGGCTTAACTCCGGAAATCTCCGTTCTATCTATTACAGATGTCTTTGTATCTAATTTTTTAAGGAATTAGACGTTAAATCAACAAAAAAATCCCTGGCCGATAAATTTGTCTTCTTTCTAGTTGGGGAACGAAATTGAATGAAGTTACCAAGGATCAGCAATTTCATCTTTGTCGTTATTGTATGTGTCATTGTGAAAAATTCAATCCAAAAGCAAGCAAAACATCGAATGACTGCACAAAGAGGCAGCACCTTAGGTCACTAAATAATCTTCGCGTATGCTCTTGATAACTACTTACATTCTTTGGATGCTCCCCATATTATTAAAGGCACCACTCTGAATCACACCAATGGCATTGTTTATCAGGTTTCTGTACGAAAACAAGATTACCGTGAGTTAGTTTTCTCAAAACGGGATAAAGGAAAGGTTATGCAGTCTTACATCGATTTGGAATGAATAGTGAGTTCTCGATCCCTACTTCAAAAGGCACATCGTTATACTTTTTACCTAATTCAAATTGAAACACATTTGTTATGACACCTACAGCCATCCCCGGCCCCCCTCCCCCTCCCCACCCCTCTCAGCGTTGATTTTCAAGATGACATCAAAACATAGTTGATTAACAGCACTGTAAGGGGGGAGGGGTGAACAGAAAATAAAGACGTTGCTCTGGAGAAGTGTTCCAACTAAACTTTATCTGGAAATTTAAGTGCACACGAACCTAGGCTTTGTTAGCTGACTACTGAAACTGCGCAGGGAGTATTACTGATGACTTGGGTTTAATGTGCGTTTTACTGACGTTTATTCCGTTGCTCGTTGTAGAAAGCCAAAAACCAATGGTGTTCTTATTACTTACAATTCTCGTAAATTCGTCTGGTATTGAAACAAATTGGCGCCCAGCTCTGTTATACTGTTTTGTTGAAGTGTGCTACAAAAAAAGCATTGAATGTATCGTCAGTGACGTAACACGCAGGTTAAAAAAAATTCTGATCTGTCTTGCGTTCCTTTAGAAAAAAATTGCACAAACTTCTGTAAAAATTACACTAAAAAGGCATCTAAAAAATAATGATTATTATATAAATTTAAAAAAGATGGACAATTTACTAAGTATTTGGATGAGAAAAGAGGAAGTGAAAAAAAAAAAAAGGGAAATCACAGATACAATCTACCCAATAGCATGGAATACACAAATTCAGCAGAAGCAGATACATGTTTTTTTTGTTGTTGTTTCACATAATTGTAATATTACTAAGGTTCGTTAGCATAAAATCATAAAGAAAGTTAACATATTGATGTATAATTTTCTGGTGGTAAGAGTCGTAAGAACGATACTATGATTAGACATTACCCTTATTGAAAGATGAACGAGGTCTAAAAATCAACCACTTATCATTAGCTTAATGTTTGGTTAAGGGACTGCTGTAACGAGTTATAAAAATAAGCTTAAATCATCTCAATTATGCGACTGAAATCCAATTCTTAATGTCATATGTAATAGTGATAAAAATAGTAACAATGCTAAAATAATATACTAAGATATACTCACAAATACTGAAGATTAGTGAGTGTGTCCAGCTCTCCAGGTTTTATTGTTGGAATGTTATTATTACTCATATAACTGGCGAAATAAAGAGTACGAACATTTTTCCATGGTTACCAGAACATCAATGCCACTACCACTCTTTGATACGGTAAAATTTGTTACATGCACATTTCAAAGTGGAAAATACTCTTCTAACGGTTCTCCAAAAATTATATACCTATTGACTGAAAGTTTTCCCCACTTATTTTGAAGTCATAAGCAAGTAATTTATCATTATGAGAACACATTCTCATAAAGTATGTAAAAGAGTTCAAGAATAAAATCAAATTTAAATTTAGACTTACAGTCTAGTTGGATTCGGATTCCTCAAAGCTCTTGAAGGAAATGTAACCAGCTTGTTGTTCATCAAATTGCTGAAACTGTTGAAAATTTGAATATGGCAGGCACTTTATACGTCAACGGTTCTTTTCGAAATTACTATAACTATAACGCTATCAAAGTTAGAATAGATTTCCATTAAAGTTTCTGGAGAAACTAGAAAATTCCTCCTGTAAAGATATAAAAGCTGTGGAAAGATTTTGTACCTCAACTGAATTCCCAATTCAATTTGTATGCTCACGAAAATGATGTATCTGGAATAACTAATAGATTTCTCCTTTATAAGTATAAAATATGAAAAAAGTTTTTGTAACTGGACTTAATTCGCAACTAAATTTGCATGCTCAAGAAAAAAAATTGGACTTACATTACTTTAATTGATACTCCATTCAAAGCATCTTCGTGCAAGGATTGTATTTGGTTATTGGAAAGATCCCTTGGGCAGACAAAGACAACAATACCAACATTAAAACAAGGTAACTTGGTTTTATAAACTAAGTTGATAATGCAAATTGGCCTCCGTAAAGAGTTTAAAAGCTGACGTTTCGAGCGTTAGCCCTTCGTCAAAGCAATTTGTTATTCGCTCTAACGAAGGGCTAACGCTCGAAACGTCAGCTTTTAAACTCTTTAAGGTGGCCAATTCATATTATCAACTTAGTTGATTAAACTAAATTACCTCGTTACCCCTACCGACGTAATATTAAAACAGACATACTATATTGTGGTAGTGAAGGCAGCAATACACCATTATTAATACCTTGTCAACTAACAATCTCATATTCAAGTGCGCTCGATACAATTTGAGATTCCTTCCATGCTACATCATAACATACATATTTTCTTTTCTTTTTATTTCGTCCAATCTTCAAACTACATTGTAAATGGCTAAGAAAAGGAGAAAAGGTTTGATATGGTAAAACAAACGCAACGATCGCAAAAGAACGCCAAAGAAGCCAAAGATTTGAGGCAAATGTCACTTTCATTGAGGCTTACATTTTAAAATTGCCCTGAATCGTGACATTCTCTTATTTCTTATCGTTTGTTGTTGTGCATGTTTTTTGTTTTTTGTTGCTTGTTTGCTGGCATACAAGCCAGCAATAGAGATGAGTAAGTGGAGTGCATCTTTCTCTATCTTAACATCACATCAAATTCAGCTATTAAAACTTTGACAAAATGATATTTACAACGTATTAACAGATGACCCAGAATCGCCAAATAGCTTTCCTGTTACAACTTGAATCAGATTATTCTGAAGTTTTCTGGAATAAGAAAAAAAAAAAGGGTTAAGAACTGTGTCTAGTTCAAAGGCCCTCGGTGTTACCAGCCTGTCTCTTTAACTCCACAAAATATAATGTTTGATGCTCAGAAGCGTGCAAATCCTCACAACTCAGCAAAGAGCCCCAGCACCGCAATCCCAAGCATTCATCCAAATCCTTAGCAGATAATAACCCTCCCCGTATCAAAAAAATAATGTTAATAATAATAGTTATAAAATAAATAATAATAGTATTATCAATAATAATAACAATAAATAAAATAAAACGATAATAGAAGACTGCAAAAAAACAAAAAGAACTCGAGTATGACTTGAATCGATTACAGAAAAGCCTATGATAGTGTCCCTCATGGTTGTATACTGGTGACCTTACAGATGTACAGATTTAATGAAGAACTAGTCACTTTCATGGAAACCTCAATGTGCAATTGGAAAACTACAATGAAGCTATCTTGCAATGGTGGGCGTATCACAACGGATCAGATCTAGATCAAAAGAGGGATCTTTCTAGGGGAATTATTCTCACCTCTGCTATTTTGCTTAGCCCTTGTGCCTTTAACATCAGAGCTAGCTACGTCAGGGTGTGGTTACAAGATCACAAACATAAGTGTTCCAATCAGCAATCCGTTATATATGGATGGTTTAAAATCGTACAGCAAGAGCGAGCAAGAACAAGTTGGAGAACTGAAAATAGTAAGACACTTCAGTGATGATATCGGTATGGAATTTGGCCCTGAGAAATGTGCCATAGCCAGTTTCAAGAAAAGTAAACTGACCTCAACTGGAAACATAGTAATAGATGAGGAAACAGAAATACAACTGTTGGAACACGAAGGGGTATACAAATACCTGGGTGTAGATGAAAGTGATGGTATCCACCATAGCAAAAAGAAAGAGAAGATAAGAAAAGAATACAGTAGGAGAGTAAGATTGATCCTAAGAACTGAGCTCAGTGAATGAAACAAAATAGTAGCTATCAATAGTCTTGCAGTCGCAATTGTGGATTATAGTTTTAGCATCATTGACAGGAAAATCTCCGAACTGAAAAAGATTGACAGAAAAACACGCAAACTATGAAACTTGCACAAGATGTTACATCCTAAAGCAGGCATGAAAAGGCTGTACATCCCAAGAAAAGAAGGATGATGGGGCCTCGTGCTTTTATTGTTTCGAGGTGTTTGAAACCCCTGATGAAACACGAAGCACGAGTTTTTGACATGACTTCTCAACCACGCCTTAAAAAAAATGCAATAAAGCAAGCAAAAGTAATGTATTCCCTACGGGAATGGTAAATAGCTCATGCAAGTCCCTGCCTGTATTTTCAAAGCCGTTTGTCGATGTTAGCAGTGTTTCATTGTATTTGATGGTTATGGCTGAGAAGGAGAAAGGAAGACCGAGTCGTTTGCCGAAAAGTACAGCTGAGGAACAAGTCCTAGCTAATGAAGCTGTTCCCTCTTCTACAATGTACAAAAACAGATGGACTTTAAAAATATTTCGGGACTTCAGCAGCAAAGGGTGATGAAAGTGCCGATTGTAGAGTCCGGTGGTCTTTTCAAAAATTATGAATTGCACAAGGTTAATCCTGTTAGTTGTGAAATAGAGGATATGGATGCCATATCTCTTAACTAATGGCTCACGAAGTTTGTAATGGAAGTCGCCAAAGATTCAGAGGAAAGGTATCCACCAACAACTGTGTACGGGATAGCGTGTCGTCTGAAGTTCTTTATTTAATGCTGCGTTCCACGAGGGAACTTTCCAGAATTGTAATTTTCACGTTGTGAATAACTTTTCGAAGTACGGTAGTGAATAATTGATTGTATGGTAATTGAGGTTGCCAATTAAAATTCAAGTTTCTTGATCAGTGTTTTCATCAGTTTTTGAACGAACCGGAGTAATCTTGATCCACATTTTCATTGGGTATCAAGATACATGCACCTGACCAAAATGGGGCACTCCGATTGGCTTATAACCGTATGAATAATTAATGAGTTTGAGAAACAACATTCAAAACAGACAGTAGGGCTCAATCATTTTCTGAGGCACAAAGAAGCGCAATAGTCTAAGATGAAATCCATGAGAAGAAAAGTGGAAAAATAAAGCATTGCATGGCCAGTATCCCAGGATTCTAGAGAAGCCTCACGTAGACACAGTCACCTCCAACAAATGGTTGTCGAGTAATCTGAAAGGGGAAACAGAAGGACTACTTGTGGCAGCTCAAGAGTTGGCAATAAACACCACAAACTACCAGGAAGTAATATGTGCCCAGCAAGTGGAGAGCAAATGCAAACTGTGTTCGCAATACGAGAGAGACAGTGGACCATTTTGTATTTGGATGTGAGGTATTAGTAAAAACAGAGTACATCTCCAGGCACAATAGTGTTGCAGTATATCTCCATTAGAGCATCTGTAAGGACCATGATATCGAGATTACTGACAAATGGTACCAACAGGAGCCAGAGACTGTGATGCACAATAAAGACAACAAAATTACCATCATATGGGAAATGCCAGTCAATACTGACAGATAACAGCGAACAGACCAGACATCGTAGTTAAAGATTAAGTGAATTCCACCTGCAAACTAATTGATCTGACCATTCCATCAGATAGAAACATCGCTCTGAAGGAAATGGAAAAGAAGGGTAAGTACGAAGACCTAGAACTAGAAATATAGAGAATGTGGCATATGAAAACCGCAGTGATCCCTGTGGTTGTTGGTGCGCTAGGTACAGGAAAGAAGGGAATGGTGGAAAAAAAAAAAGAAAGTATCAAAAGCAGCTACTGCGACAAAGACTCAAAAGATCTGCATGCTGGGATCTGGGCGAATCCTCAGAAAGCTGCTTAGTGTATGAACAGAATGATTGACTTGAGTGAATGATGCCCTCAGTGCATAATTTGCGCCCGGCTGGTGCACAACAAGCACACCAGTAAAAACTGCGATAGAAGAGATGATGATGATGATGATGATGATGATAATAATAATAATAATAATAATAATAATAATAGTAGTAGTAGGAATAGTAATAATAATATTAGTAATAGTAATAATAGTAATAGTAATAATAGTAATAGTAATAATAGTAATAGTAGTAATAATAATAAGCCCTGAGTCTCTTTACGTTACATCCAAAACGAAAGGTTCGAAGGGAACCAGCCCAGCCGTATACAAGATTATTGCTAGAGAAAAGGAAAGATAGGTAGTTACAATTCTGTCATACATATATTCAATGATCGTCTACTTCATTGAATGCAGGTACAGTTAGAAGGAAAGGTGGTTCGTATTCTGATCATGTATATCCCTGTTCCAGCCGGAATATGTTATGCTTCTTCCATTGATTTTCACACTCTTACTGTAGTAGCAAAATCATACTAAAATAGTTTGTTGGTGCTTACAGCGCTCCATGGGTCACTGTGAGAGATACAAAGGGGTTTTCTTCAAAAGTAGTGATCTTACTGTTAGACATCTCCCTGGAAAAAAGAAACACAAGATAAAATCAATCAGGAAACAGCATCTCTGATTGCCAAAAGGCTCAAACAGGCCTTGCTCTTTTTCTTCGCATAAACAGAGAACAAAACCCGGTGTGAAGAGCAAACACTGACCATTGGTTTATGGAATATTTGTGCCATCTTAAGGGATATTACGCTACCTTACTCTGTGTAGACAATGTCAGAACAACATTCTACTTACAAATCCCATGTAATTGTCACATCATAAAACGCCTCGGTGGATATTGTCGTGAGCTCAGCACCATACAGTTCACTAAATAGGGTTCAAATAAACGCCTATTAAGCACCTTACGTAGACATGAAGAAATTTTTTTTTAGATAAACACCAGTGAATATATTGAATTTAGAGTAGCAGCTGATCACGTGGTGTGATCTCCCCCGATAAAAACAGACACAAATACGATTATGAGAATAACTGGGATTTCGACAACCTGAATTAAAGTCGTAAGAGTGACACGATATAAAAATGTATTCCTGCGGTATATGTTTACAGAGAGCGGCATCATATCGAAGCTGGCATACAATACTTGTTGCTGGTTAGTGTAATGGCTGACATAATCTTTATTGTTGTTGTTGCTTTGTTGTTTTGTTGTTGTTTTTTTTAATCAAATCTACTACTACTTCATTTTAAAACAACAATAAAGGCTATGATTGTGCATCTCTTTTACACAGAAAGATCAAAATCGCAGAAAAGCAGTGTCGGGTGTAAAGGAACACGTTCAACACTTGTTTAATCTCAAGAAGATTTTCAAAATTTTTTCGGTACTAAATCCGTCTAGTTACTCATTATTAGGAGCCCTTAATTTTAGACTATGCACATACACACTACGTACCCTTTAAGTTCGATTAAAAAAAAGACATCATCACTCATGCATTTTTGGTCATGCTAAATCTGTCAGAAATATTCCACAGCTATGAAACCTGCCTAATCAGTAAACACGTCATAATACATTACTAGATGAACTTACATGTAGCACATCGCCACGTTATCAAAAGCACGAGCACCAATTTTTTTCATCACATTCCCTGTGAACCGTCTGAAAGGAAGAAAATAAAAGGATTTCAATAATGCTGTCTCACGTAACATGAGGTTAACTACAGAGGAAATGACACTGGCAGAGTCTTCCATGCCGATAACTTCCTCGTCACTCCTTCAATTTGATAGCAGTTTTCTGGTTGACTCTGCAAAATCAGAACCGAAGAGTTTTCAGCTAGGACGTCAAAACTGATGTACAATCAAACCTCTCTTCTGTGGCGTCAACTGTGGGAAATATTGCTCAACTAGCCAGGTGCAACGGTTTGAAACGATAATAGATCTTCTACTTTAATCATTAATTTTGTTCCACTTCGATGAGACATTAGTACGTACAACGTGCAACCAGATCCTTGTACATTTTGGAAAGCTCCAGATTCGATGGCAGACATTCTATTTCCTTGAAAATTCCTATAAGAAATGGCAACATGAAACCAAACTTAGTATCAAACAACAAACATATGAAATACATATATATGAACTGCGGTTATGAAACGTATATGTGCACGATCCTTCGCAGTAAAGCACTATTTAAGCAATAGTGAAAATCAGACCTGAAAAAAATTCAGGCCTGTACGGGATTCGAACCACTGACCTCTGCGATACTGGTGCAGCGCTCTACCAATTGAGCTAACAAGCCAACTGGGAGCAGGCCATCAAATTAATTCGACATAAACCCGTAGATGATAAATCAAACAACAAACATATGAAATACATATATATGAACTGCGGTTATGAAACGTATATGTGCACGATCCTTCGCAGTAAAGCACTATTTAAGCAATAGTGAAAATCAGACCTGAAAAAAATTCAGGCCTGTACGGGATTCGAACCACTGACCTCTGCGATACTAGTGCAGCGCTCTACCAATTGAGCTAACAAGCCAACTGGGAGCAGGCCATCAAATTAATTCGACATAAACCCGTAGATGATAAATCAAACAACAAACATATGAAATACATATATATGAACTGCGGTTATGAAACGTATATGTGCACGATCCTTCGCAGTAAAGCACTATTTAAGCAATAGTGAAAATCAGACCTGAAAAAAATTCAGGCCTGTACGGGATTCGAACCACTGACCTCTGCGATACTAGTGCAGCGCTCTACCAATTGAGCTAACAAGCCAACTGGGAGCAGGCCATCAAATTAATTCGACATAAACCCGTAGATGATAAATCAAACAACAAACATATGAAATACATATATATGAACTGCGGTTATGAAACGTATATGTGCACGATCCTTCGCAGTAAAGCACTATTTAAGCAATAGTGAAAATCAGACCTGAAAAAAATTCAGGCCTGTACGGGATTCGAACCACTGACCTCTGCGATACTAGTGCAGCGCTCTACCAATTGAGCTAACAAGCCAACTGGGAGCAGGCCATCAAATTAATTCGACATAAACCCGTAGATGATAAATCAAACAACAAACATATGAAATACATATATATGAACTGCGGTTATGAAACGTATATGTGCACGATCCTTCGCAGTAAAGCACTATTTAAGCAATAGTGAAAATCAGACCTGAAAAAAATTCAGGCCTGTACGGGATTCGAACCACTGACCTCTGCGATACTAGTGCAGCGCTCTACCAATTGAGCTAACAAGCCAACCG